TTGCTGTGAGATAACAAAGATGGAAATTTCTCTCCAAGTAGGGTATGACCATGCCCACATAACACATAAGCAGCTGGTGGGACAATGCTTGAAAAGTGAAGCCTCGCCTCATTTCCTCGCGTTTCTGTGTCTTCACCTCTAGCACACTCAGCAGCTAAATCTTTACACTTGGCTGACCATGGATCTGCAGTTTGTGAAGCACCTTGAAAGTGGCCATCCCTGGTGTGCAGGCCAGCACCATATAAAATGACCAAGCACCTAGCTGTCACCAGGCTTGGCCATGCAAGTACCTCAGCATGCAGAGTGGCTTGCATGCCACAAATAGCTTACGACTACAGGACCAGTCACTGCTTTGCCAGCTACAGGAGGAGGAAACTGAGGTCAGAGAGTGCCTCAGCCAGTGTGCTGCCTGGTCTGAGGCAGGTAACTGCAGAGGTAGTCACAGGGCTGGGAAAACTGACCTAGAATCTCATGTCAAGCCTCAAAGCTTCTTCGTGGGGCTTTGGGGGAAGCAGCAAGGTGCAATGCAAATATGTCTTGTACTTTCTGTGCAGATGTTTCACAACTGTCTTTGCCAGAACCTCAGTTCAGATGAAACTGAGCACGTTACCAAACAAGTAAAGTGAGCTGCTGTGGTGGAAGGGCCGTCTGCTGGGCAGTTCCTCTCCACAGTGCTTCCCGGAAGGCTCCATGGAGGGCAGTTTGGAAAACAGCTGAGGTATAGGACAATGCCTGCCAGGGGTCAGACAGATGTAAGCTTGAATCCCAGCTGATAAGCTGTGTGACTCTGAGCCTCATCTCTAAGACAGAAAGAATAATACCTACCCGGTGCTGCTGGGAGGATGAACTAGCAGCTCCACAGTGACTTTCATGCTGACAGGGGCCCCTTCCTGACCCAGTTTGGCCAAAGGTTTGTCTGCTTACCTGCTCAGGGGTTGGCATTATGGGTGTATCGCCAGGGAGTACAGTTGGGGTGGGCAGAGGGGCAGTGTGCTGGCTCAACTCTCCTCTCTGGCTGGGGTCAGTGCCCAGAGAGGTGTGTCCTGATGGTGCTTCTGAGGTGAACACAGTCTAGAAGCAAAAGATAGCCAGTGAGGCCTCCTGGGAGAGAGCCACAGGATCCTCTGGGGTAACCACTGTTCTGCCCAGTTTCCATGGGCTTTTTCTCACCCTTTGGGGTGTGTGGATAGGTGATAGCATGTCCAGGTCAGTCATGGGGAACTCCAGGCCCTTCCTCCGCAGGTCCTCGTAGACAGCGACGACACCTGTCAAATCGGGCGAGCTGCGGAACGCGTCAGCCCAGGACTGAGAGGGACAAGGGACACTACTGGTAACCACTACTCACCTTCTTCCCTGGGAGCCTGCCCCATCCTGGCACTCAGGGAGCAGAAATCTTTCCCCTGGCCTCCCAGTCCTTTCACTACACACACTGGGTCTTGAACAGGGTGACAAGCCTCACCAAACACATGAATATCCAACTAACAGTGAGCCTCAAAAATGGGAAACAGCCTGTGGCCACACCCCGAAAGAAGTACCAGTGCTGCTGCTCCCACCCCCAGCGCTCACCTGGATGAGGGTCAGCACTTTGTCGTGCACGATGGTGGGCGGGTTGTTCTTGGGCAGGATGGTCCTCACCAGCACACCCTCCACGAAGTCCTGGTTGGCCACCAGCACATGGAAGCGGTGCCCACAGTTCTTGACGCATGTCTCCAAGACCTGGAGGGCAAAAAGTGCCCGAGAGGAGCCCAGTTAGAGGACAGGAAGCACCCAGCCACCCTCTCAGCCTCCTCCTATGTCCCAGAGGGGAGGTCAAGCAGAGGGCAGGAGCTTCCTGAGGTTGCCCCCAGAATGTGGAGAGTGGGGCACTGCCAGATTTAGGAGCTTGTCTATATGTAGAGGTGCTGGCTGGAACTCCCTGATCGGTGGTCAGGGCCACCAATTACTGACCCTGTTTCCCAGTTAAGCCTGGTCTCCCTGGAGGAAATCAAAGATAGACTGAGCTCTTCACCAGCTGGTGGCATGGTGGCCCAGGAACAGCATCCTCCTTCCCGTCCACTGCCACAGGAGCTGACCCTGGTCTCCAGTCTAACCTGATGTCTTCCCAGTGGGGATGCTGGGACAAAGTGTCCTCTTCTCCCCTCCCTAGCCAAATCATATCGAGGCCAGCATACTCACCATGCCTGGCCCATCCTGGACCTGGACTGGTTCAGTGCTATGTTCAAGGCTGTTCTCAGTCACTGAGAACATTTTTCAGGGCACTAAAGTGCCAAGCAGTATATAATTTCCCTGCCTCCTCCCCCAGCCTGGGTGTATTAAACTTTTGTCACTTGGCAGGTCCTTTGACCCAGGCTATCCACCCCAGTGGTTCTAGAGGGAAGTGGCTCTGTGTGTCTGCTCCCCATGGTAGGGGAGAGGCAGACAGCCTCTCTTGACACCCATGTCCACCCAGCAGTATGGAGAGGATGGTACTTTGTCCGTGGTCCTTTCCTCCCAGCTCTTAGATGAAGAGCCCAAGGGTGGATGAGAATCCTACAGGGCCTGAGGAGAGGTGGCTTTCAGCAGACTGTGGTCCTGCCACAGAACTGACTGATAGAGGGATGGACAGACAGATGGATGGGAAACTCACCGTGAGAGCAAGCATCACCTCATGGAAGTTCTTATTGCCTATGATTCTCTTCTTCACCGCTCGGAAGGCATCTTTGGGGCTGGAGAGAAGAATAAAAGGGAGGCTGGGCTTAGGCATGGACCCTCCTTTTTCAGCACTGGAGGCTGTGTGCAGAAACTTCAGGGGTTCCTGGAAAGGGTTTGGATTATCTTCTTCTCCTTGAGCCTGGCATATGGGCCAACTTCTGATCCTAGTGGAGTCCTGCTGTTCCACCCCAGCTGCTGACAGCTGGGACTCTCATGTGGTCCCCAGTCCTTTGGGGGAGGTTTGAGTGTTTTAAAACGCAGAAGCCCAGAGTACGTGAGCCAGAGTCTTAGGAGGGGCCCAGGGTCTGCATGCTTCCAAAGTCCCAAGGGCTTCTGTGGCTGAGGCTAAGAACAAGTGACTTTGGGCAAAGTGTTCCACCACCTTGGCCTGGCCAGCTCCGTTGCCTATCCACTCAAGTGTTACAGAGCACCCATGTATGCAAAGCACCAGGCTAAGAGCTGGGGACAAATGGTGAACAGGTCACAGGCCCTGCTTACAAGGATCCCATGTTTTGGGGAAACCAAAGTACCCAGAGAGAAGCAGGTCCTGAGGGAGAAGTGGGGTGGGGACCAAGAGAACACTGAGGGATGGGAATGATAGAATAGGGGGAGAATCAGGGCAGAGCAGCTCAGGTTGAGCTCAGGCAGAGGAGCCTGGAGTCAGAGACTAAGAGGAAGACATAAAGTGTGGAGATACAGGAGGCCCAGGAGACCCTGGGGGGTTCACAGGATGGGGGACAGATGCACCTAAGTACAGTGGGAGACCTAGAGGCTACTTGCTATCTCTGTATCATGTGTGCCTACTACCTCCAGCATCATCAGCCCTGCACAGATATAATCAGTGATGCCAGGATCACTCTTGTCTGAGACCTTTGCTCAGGCTCTGCCCACTCTCTAGGTCTCTCAGGGGAAGGCCCATCCCTCCATGAAGCTTTCTTAGGGCCTCCAGTTTCCCGGGTGTCCTGCTATGGGACATTAACCCCAGGCCCTCCCCGGGTAGAGAAGCAGTCCCCTAGATGGCGGGACAGCAGCCTTGGACCGCCTCCTCTCAGTGGAGTCTTGCACACTGCAGGAGCCCATGACTCGGCTCTGCTCAGGCTGGAGGGTGGCCTTTGGGGTCAGTCCTCCCTCTGCCTGTCCATCAGGCTGACCCATCCAGGGCTCCATTAGGGGAGTGTTACCCTGGTCCAGGTCCTGGAAGGAGTACAGGAGGAAGCAAGGCCCTGGGTGAGTGTGTTCTGCCTTGGGTGGTGTTGTGGAGTGGCCAGGTCTGCGAGGGAGAGGCAAGCCTGGATCAGAAGTGAGAAGTTTCCACCCAGAAACCCAGGGGCAGCGCCTTGCCCTTCCCCAGCTCCCTTGGGGGTGGCTGACTTCTGTCTTGGTGTGGCCACCACTACAGTTTAGATCTTGAATGTCCCTAAAAGGCCCACATGTGAAGGTCCCCATGGTGGCACTGTTGGGAAGCTATAAAATTTCATGAGCTGGGGCCTGGTGGGAGGTCTTTAGGTCACTGAAGGTGTGCTCTTGAAGGGGATTGTGGAACCCCAGCTCCTCGTCCTCTCCCCCTTCTTCTTCTTCTCTTTTTTTTTGCAGCACTGGGGTCTGAACTCAGGCCTCATGCTTGCTAGGCTGGTGCTCTACCACTTGAGCCACTCTGACAGTCCTGTTTTGTGTTGGGTATTTTCCTTTTATGGCGGTACTGTGGTTTGAACTCAGGGTCTCATGCTTGCTAGGCAGGCACTCTACCAGTCGTGCCACTCCACCACCCAAGTTCTGTATCGGGTATTTTCCAGATAGGGTCTCATGAACTATTTGCCTAGGGCTGGCTTTGAACCACGGTCATCCTGATCTCTGCCTCCTTCCTGAGTAGCTAGGATTACAGGTGTGAGCCACTGACACCCAGCTATCACTATTCATAGGATGGTGGAACTGTCTTTTCTGACCTTTTTCCTTTTTTTTTTTAATATTTGGTGGTACTGGGGTTTGAACTCAGGGCCTCACGCTTGTTAGGCATGTGCTGTACCACTGAACTAGTCTTAGACCTCCTTACTCTTCCTTTGCTTCCTGGTCATGAGATGAGTGGTTTTACTCTGTCATGCACTCCTGCCATGATTGCTTGCCTCACCATGGGTCCACAGGGACCTTTGAAATTGTGAGTCAGAATAAACCTTTTCTGGGTCAGGCACAGTGACTCACACCTATAATCTCAGCTACCCGGGAGGCAGAGATAGGAAGGACTGTAGTTTGAGGCCAGCCTGGGTTAAAAGTTAGTGAGTTCCCATCTTAGCTAACAAGCTAGGCATGGTGGTTCACACTATAATCCCAGCTATGTGTGAGGCATGGGTAGAAGGACTGTGGTCTGAGGCTGGTCCTGGGCAAAAACCATGAGACCCTATCTATAAAATAAATACAGGAAAAAAGGGCTGGGGCTGTGGCTCAAGTGGTAGAACACCTGGCTAGCAAGTGCAAGGCCCTGAGTTCGAATTCTAGTACCGCCCAAAAATGTTTACAATGCCACAGTCCAGGCTAGGGTGAGGCTCAGACTTGGTGGCTGGTAGTGGTGGGCTGGGGTGGAGCTCTCTGGCAGGATGCAGGTTAGTCAACATTGGGATATGCTGTTATAGGTGGCCATGACAGCTTGTGTCCCTGCCCCGTCAACCTCTCCTTCACGGGACCTTACCCTTCCTCGGTCTCGTTGATGATGTCGCAGATCTCCATGTTGAGGGCCCAGTCCTCACTCTGCAGGGAGCCATCTGTAGCTTTCTCTGAGGAGAAGAAACCACAAGTCACCTAAGTGTATAGGGTCCCGTATGGACAAACTCAGATAGTGGGGTGAGGAGAGAATGGGATGTGATGGTTAATCTTGACAGTCAATTTGACTGGATTGAGAGACGCCTAGGAGATTAGTACAGCACTTCTCCGGGTGTGATTGTGAGGGCATTTCCAGAGGTCATGAGGGCTTTGACCTAATCAATGGTTTACTCCACTAATGGACTCAAAATGTGAATAGACTTGGGTGGTGAAACTCTAAAAGGGGGGGCCTGGCTGGAGGAAGTGGGTGAAGGGCATGTCTTTGAAGGGTGTATCTTGTCCATGGCCTTCCTGTTACTCCCCTCTGCTTTCCCGCTGCCCAGTCAGTAACCTCTGCTACATGCTTCCCCCGCCAGGATGCTCTCAGGCCCAAAGCAATGGATCTAACAGACACGGACTGAAGCCTCTGAGACCATGAGCCAAAATAAATGTCTCCCCCTTTGAATTGTTTCTCTCTCAATTTGCCACAGCAATAAAAAGTCTCATACACTGGAGGCTGGGGTGATGAGAGAGGGCAGAAGGCAATGGATGCTTTCTGGGCACCCAAGATGGGCCAGTCTTACATACATTATCTCATTTGTCGCTTGACCTTTGTAGTAGCCATGCGAGGCTGGGAGTTCCTTCGTCTCTGACAGATAAGGAAACCTCAGCTCAGAGACTACAGTGTGGATGAGTGGGATTAGGAATCGAGGCAGGCCTGGCCTCAGAGACTTGTTTTTGTCATGACATCAGAGACAGTGTACTGCTTTATTTTTTTGTAAGATGTTACCTCTTGACTTCACATTACTTTTTTTTTTTAACTTTTTTGATATAGAGTCTCATTATGTAGCCCAGGCTTTCTGCCCCAATCTCCAGAGTGCAGGGATTACAGGAGTGCTCCACCATGCCTGGTTTATATTATTTGGTGAATTGGTAATACTTACCTGGTTCAAAATGTAAAAGTTTCAAGCTGGTATACAATGGGGTGTAAATCTCTTCTGTGCCTGCCTCTCACCCCAACTTTCCAGAAGTACCCACTGTACTCACTTTCTTTCATTATCTCCCAGGGACAACGTTTACCTAGGAAGTAAAGACACCATTCCCAACAGGTGACCTAGCCTCCTTGTTCCCTTATGAGCCATAGACTGGCCAATGTGAACTGCCCAAAGGAGCAGTGACAATTCAGATGAGTCTCCAGTACAGTAGGTGCATAGGTGCGTAGAACAGGTGCTCAGCAAGTGCCAGTGGTTCTTCCTGCTAAACTGACGTCAAAGTCACACCGTATAAAGCAAACCCTCTTAGAACCTACAACTCAGTGCTGTGTAACCACCACCACCTCTATCTGGCTCCTTTACATTTTTATGCTGGAGTGATACTTGGGATAAGATTTCTAGGTGATGAGCTGCAAGGTTCTCAAGGCCTGTCAAAATCAAGGGCAGTCAGGCATGGTGGTAACAGACCTGTTATCCCAGCACTTGGGAGGCACAGGCCAGCAGGAGTCGAGTCATCCCCAAACACGGGCCCAAGTCTAACAGCCATATTGTCCTGCCAATCCCAATTCCTGAGTGTCTCCATCAACCCATTCCTCTCACTCTCCACTACTGCCCTGCCTCTCCCCAAGACCATGGCCCCGCCCCACCCACTCTCCATGCTGCCCAGTGACAGTATCCACCTGTGCCCCACAACTTCCCAGACACCTTAGACACCCTTCCATAATATTTTAGCTTCCCAAGTTATATCTACATGACCTCTAGCATCTTTAGCTGTTTACATAAAGAGCGAGATTGTTTTTTTTTCAGTACGGGGACTTAATCTCAAGGCCTACACCTTGAGCCACTCCACCAGCCCTTTTTTGTGATGGGTTTTTCAAGATAGGGTCCCACAAACTATTTCCTCTGGCTGGCTTCAAACTGCAATCCTCCTGATCTCTGCCTCCTAAGTAGCTAGGATTACAGGATGAGCCACCAGCATCTAGCAAGAGAGAGATTTAATCCTCACCACACAGGCTGTACATTTCTGTCCTCACATTGCAATTGAGGAACCTGAGGTACCCGGAGGTCAGCACTTTGAGATGGCCATCCAGTGGTGAAGGTGGCTGCTGCATTGCCGAGTTCCCTTTCTGCCTGCCCAGGTGCTCTGCCTCCCTGACCTCAGTCCTTACAGGCCACTCAGGTCCCCCGGTGGCACCTCAATGACTGATATACACCCTGGAACTGAGGAGCACCTCTCCTCTCCAGAGAGCACCAAGGTTCTGGAAGGGATGATGGTCATTTTGGAAAGCAAGTGGTTGTGAAGGGGAGACAGGGACATAAGGAGATCTGTATGGGAATGAGGTGGACGCAGAGGCCCCTGGAGTTCCAATCTGGGGCTGCCTGAGCAGTGCAGGTGAGGGTGCCAGCAGTGGACAGTGCCAATCAGAAGATGGAGAATTGGGGGCCAGGAGGGGGAATCTGGCCTAAACAGGAAAGGGAGAGGGAAAGGAGGAAGAAGCAGAGGCAGGACAAGCTTCACTGACCAGTTTAAGTGGATGACAGCTGAAGGGAGCTCAAGATGTCTACCCAAACAACCACGCCTCACCCCATGCCCCTCTGGGTTCAGGTGTGGTTGGCAGAACTCCCTTCTGGCTTCCCCCAGGGAGGCCTGCCCATCAAGGGCAGAGGTTTTCCTTTAGCAATAGTGGGGTTTGAATTTAGGACTACGAGTTTGCTAGGCAGGCACTCTACAGCTTAAGCCACACCTTCAATCCAAGGGCAGAGTTTTAAACACTCAGGAACCTGAGGATGTGGGCATGTTTGTTTTTAACTGTGAAAGTCATTCAGCTTGCTATTTTAAGAAGGAGAATAAAAACCCTACCGGTAGTCAACAGTTATCCAGACAACGATAACTGATTCCCCAACCGCAAGCTGCTGGCCATGACTTTCAAGAGTGCCTGGCAACAGAAGGCCCTTGTCTTCCAGCCCCTGATTGGCCAGGCTTGAAAACCTTTGTTGTCATTAGGTGCTTGTTGTTGCCTGGGACTGGCAGTCCTATGAGTTACTGGATACCTGTCTGTCTGGCACCTTGTCCTCTCCTGTTGGGCCTGGTGCAGACATGTCCTGTCCAGAGGGCTCCAGGTATACTTTGACTGGCATGAGGGCAAAACCCTTTCCTCATGGAGAATCAGGATGGACAGTGGCCCACCCTGTGTGGCCTTACCTCCTAACTCAGGCCATGGGTAAGGTCCAGCCCCTGAGTCCCTGGGTCTGCGTCTGTAGGATCAGGTGAGCCTGCCTGCCTCACAGTGCAGTGGGGTATAGACTTTTCAACCAGTCTATACCCCATTAGGTAAGGCAGCAATGAGCAACAGTGAGGTCCACTGTGACTCTTGGGTCAAGGGAAGGAATGAGTGATCACCAAAGACCGTCACACCTAGACACAATCCAGGCAGCTGTTGGACACTTGGTCTCAGCTCATCCTCAGCGGTGACCCAGAATGTCAGGCAAGATTCTAGGTCAGGGAGCTCTGCTGTCCCATGCTTTGGAGGAACGCTGTCCTATGGGTGCTTAGTGGAGCTGTGGGCAGCACTGTGCATATGGCCCACTGCACACCTAATGCTGTGTCAGTCACCTTCCTCCACCGGCACATTCCAGCAGTCGCCAGGCCTCTTGTCACACTGGCTAGCTCTGCCAGGGCCTGCTCTGTCACCTCCATGTTCTTCCCTTCAAACACAAATCTAAACGGCAATCTTTTCTGTTGAAAAACTGTCCATGATCCCCTGTTGCAAGGGTCACAAACCTCAACTCTTCAGGGACTAGGAAGGACATTTGGGACTGTGTCTCACCTTCCGGGCCCTTATTCTTTCACGCCCCTGGGCTCTACCTGGGACGCCATCCTTCATACAGTTACGTATCCAGTTCACAGTCACTGGACACTCTGGATGCACCTAGAACAGGACTGAGAAGCACTCTGCAACCGCAGTTACCTTCACCACCCCTCAAGGTAGAGGACAGGAAAACTGGAGGAACAGAGAAGTTGGTAACTTGTTCATGGCCACACAGCTTGTAAGTTGCAGAGTACAGATTCAAATCCCAAAAGGTCCGGCTGTCAAATCCACACTTTTTTTTCTTTGCAGTGTGAGGCACTGAACCCAGGGCATTGCATATGTTAGCAAGTGCTCTACCACTGAGTTACATGCACAGCCCTTAGTTTTTTGAGGCAGGGTTTGACTATGTAGCCCAGGCTGACCTCTAACTTGGGATCCTTCTGCCTCCCAAGTGCTGGGATCACAGGCATGCAGCACCAAGCCCAGCTCAAATCCACAATCTTAATCACTGTTATGTGCCTCTCAAACTACTAGACACATGTCCAGGCCCAAGGAGACCTTGCTGGGTGAGCAAAACCAGAAAGGTCCTGCCCTCAGCAAATGAGCAGTCTAGTGGAGGCCACACCGCACAGTACAAAAGGTGAGGCTGCCACACAGAAAAGGGCAGGTGCCACGAGTCAGCCCAAGAGCTGAGCCCCTCCCATTTCCTCCTTCTGCACCTTGACAACATCATGGAGAACAATGCCTGAACCCTGAGCACTCACTGGGCCAGTGCCAGCCTGTGCGTGATGCTCCATGAGCCTCTTCCCACATCCCCTTCCCCTGCTCAGTCCCTGCCATGTACCCAAAGCCCATGAGTGTGCAGGGAAGTGGAGGAGTGGCAGGCAAAGCCAGCCTGGGCAGCCTCTTCCTTGGCTTACCCTCTGGGTGGACAGGAGGAAAGGGTCCTGTGCAGTTGTGGAGTAATGGATTAAGCTTCTAAGCTGTTAGGTGTTCAATTCAATGCTGGGGCCGGGCCCTCCTGGCCTCCCCATCAGCTCTGCTTGATGGACTCCTTAGAATGACTCCTCAGCACTCATTTCTCTGTTTGTCTGTCTGTCCCTCCCATCAGGCCACCAGCTCCTCCAGGGTGGACATTCAGCTCATGAGTCACCCAGTTCTCTGTACCAGCTG